GCTCATACCGGATGAGGTATAGGGACGGCCGATTAGTTAACAATGTTGGATATTGGTTCACGCGTAGTGGAACATCCTTATGGGCCCCCAGAGATACCAATAGGTAAATAAAAATGAAAAGTGGTTGCTATTGCTCATTTAAAAATGATATTGGAATGTTATTCGAGTTATTGTATCTCTATAAGTCGATTTTGAAAATCTCACAACAGTAAATATATGCAATAAATGGTTTTCCTTATGATAAATAAATTTGTTTAAATCAAGAGCTGTATTGGTTGTTTTTATGATTTTTACCAACATTCAGTTTCTGTATCGGTGAATAATGTGATATTCTTAGTGGGTTAGTGTAATTCGTCATTTCATTAACTATTTCAGATCAAGAGGATCAAGATTCAGATTCCGATCAACAAGAGGGTTGTAAATAAGTTCACCACCCGAACTCTCTTCAAAAGCTACCGAAGGTCGTTCTAGAATAGTCAGTTATTTGATTTTCGTTTGTCTTTTTAGAATGGACATTTCCGTAATTCTATTGGGCATTATAAATTATTGTGTAAGGAATGTAAACAGTATACTCTATTATTTCGCTTCCGCATTTAATTTATGGTTTTATTCCCTTTTAAGTTCCGAATCTTTATATGTTTAGATCAAATTTAAAAAATTAACAAGAAGAAGTTTCATGATCTCGTCTTAAAAAAGTAAAGTTTGATTAAAATAATCCCAAAACATAAATTTGATTAAAAATTTATAATTAATGAAAAAATAAACTTCATACTTAGTTGCTAATATAGATTTATAATTACAATTAGTGGAAGTTGAAGTCAACATTAAGTCCAATGGTCTAAACCTTGACCATAAATCTCATCCCCATGTTGGTACTCACAGAATTCAAAATAATTAAATGTAATTTACTTCATCAACTAATTTACCCGCCATCAAAAGTCTGACCAAATCTATTATTCTTCAACCAATGACGAGTCATATGACCCCATACATATATAGTTTGTGTACATAGGGTCCTATCAAACAGTTGACAAAAGTACTTCAGACACTGATATTGTTCTTAAAAAAAAAGACCATGACTTTCAAGTCTTATTCTTCTTTTGTTTATTTATTTATTTTTTAATTTTAACAAATCCAACACATAAATATACATGTCCTATATTTCTCTACCTATATATAATATAATAGCCTTAGATAACAATGCTAAAATGCAAATCATTTTTAATGGGTAATTAAAAACTATTATTTCAAATAAGATAATATTTTTATTTACAAGTTTATAATTTAACTTATATTTTTTCATTTATTTATATAAAAAAAAATATGACAATTGTTAATAAAATTAATTGATAGTAAATAAAGTGTGATATATTTTATATTGAGAATTTCATATTTGTAAAAAAAAAAAAATCCCATAAATTTATCAAATAATTGATAATGTTGTAAACTTGAAATTACATAATTTATATTTGTAAATATTATTTTTATTTTGATTTTTTTTTTCGATATAAAAACAAAAATAAAAAATCTAGAAAAAAAAATACATTTTAGATCAAAAAACACTGAATGAGATATTCGTTCGTAATAGTAAAAAGTATTACAAACGAAGATTGCTGGATCTAAAGACCAAAATGAGCCAAAAAAATTTGATTAGTCAAAGGATCAGTGCAACGGTTGCATTTTCGGTAAACATACTTGATCTTAACTTTGAACATATTTTAAACTTTAATCATGCATAATATAAATAAGTTTAACAGCATGTATGAGCTGAGAGATTATGTAAATGTAGCTAATTATTTTTAAATTTATTTCAAAAAATTATTAGAAATAAATTTAAAAGTGTAATAATTATATTATGATGTCATATGCTTATAAACTACCTTAAAACTTCTTGAATTATTTAGTTCCATTCTTTGATTAAATATATAAAGACATTGAAATCATAATTTTAAAAGGGTACTACATAATTCTTTTTTTTTTTTTTGTTAAATTAAATTATGTCCACTAGGTTTAAATTTTGTTCTTTATAGATGGAAAATTACGAATATCATATTAATTATATTTAATTTTATGAGACTTGTGAGTAATTTGCCTTCAAAGAGAAGAAAATGAAGCTGCCATTTTCATGTATTTTGGGCTGTTCGAGTAATACGCTGTCGTTTTACCATAAGATTGGAAATTAAGATGAGGCCAGTTGGCCCAAAGTTTTTATTCGAGGCTTCAGCTTGGGTCTGGAGTCAAGACACATTTCTAATAGTCGGTCCACGGCTTGGCATTTGTTTATTTATTTTTTGAAATGGTGAATGATACGTTGTCTATTTTAATTTAAATTTGATTAATAATTTTTAGTTGATTATAAGTCCAACGTTAATGGTTTAAAATCTTATTATATGGTTTAAAGAAATAATATTTATATTATTCTTATATAGTTCTAAAACTTTATTTCAAAAATTATATCCTAAGCATAGTAAAGGCTGAAAACCTGTTCACATATGACTCATAATACAAAAAAAAAAAAAAAAAAACACGAATAAATAGATTGAAACATAAATTATGGTATTAAGAAATTTGATTTTCAGTAATGAGCTCATAAAGAAAGAAAAAGAATATTTAAAAAATAAAATATAGATAAATTACTTTAAATTACAGAAAAATATATACACACACATATGTATATATAAAACACAGAATTAACACGTTAATTTAATTATAAATATTCTCGTTTTTTTTCCTCACCATTTAAATGAAGCACGATAATACACAATTCTAAACTAATCATTAACACGACGAAAGAAACGGAAGTCAGCTTGCCGGGGAGCCATGAAGCAGAGCCATACAAATACCAGAGACAGCCATATCCACAAGCAAAAAACAAAACCAGCCAAAACCAACACCGCGAGAAACAAAGCATATACATATAAACACAAACCCCACGCATACATATATACATGTATATATAAGTACATATATTCAATTGGGTACTCAGAGATGAGAGCGTTAAGCATTCTACTGGTATTTATGTGTTCGTGGCCATGGTCGTCGTCTTCGCACGGATTTGTAGATAATCTGTTCCCGCATGTGACGGTGACGATGCAGAACGCAGCGAGCAAGAAGGTGTATTACATGTGCGGATTTGCAGGCGAAAAGAGGGAGTTGCAGGCGCTGGAAGTTGGAGAAGAAAAAAGCTGGACGTTTCGCGAGGTGATGTTTCCTCTTCGGTGGTGTTATGTTCATATTACAGAAGATATACGAGGAGCTTTCTGGGCATCAACTGTCTTGCTCAAATGCACGCTTTGCCGTTGGCAAATTCTGGACGATGGTGTCTATTTTAATCAAACCAAACATTATCTCTACCTCCATTAATTTCTTTTTTCTTTCAAATTCTTTTGTTTCATATGTATATGTATATACATGTTTCTTCTTCTCTTTCTAGATTTCTAGTTCTTTTTGATTCTTTTCTAGGTGGTGTTAATGGAATTTGAAATATGTATATCAAGTGAGATTGCAGGAATGAGTTCTGTAATTCCTACTGTTCCAATTCTGATATACATGTTGAATTTTGGTAAATGAAACACTATTTTTCACTTATATATTATATTGAGAATTAAAAAATATATATATAAAGAAAACTGTTGAAGATGAGAGAGAAGGAAGAAAGAGGAGGCAAGTGAATATATAAATGTATAATTAATGATAGGAAAATAACAATTCAAGAGTAGTAGCATCAAATTCCAAAAATAAATGAAAGAGAAAAAGGCCGACAAGCGGAAGTCAATACCCGAACCAACCACCCTTTAATTGCTCCACGATGATCATCACCAAGACGCCATACATATTATACATATGCACCATCATCATATATATATATATATATATATATATCATCATCATCATCATCATCATCATCATCACCATCATATAGGTCTTGATCACCATCGAAAACAACTCTGGGTCACATCTGGTGCGCTCTTGACTCCCTCTACATCCCCACCACCATTAATTAATCATACTCCCCTAAATCGCCTAATTAACATCTTACCCCACTACCATTACTTTTACACAACACAAAACCAAACCTCTCTTATTTACCCTTCCCTACTTTCCCACAACTCACTACTCACATATACATATACACATATTCATATATATGTATATATGTATATATATATAGATGTGTAGGACCATGCCCATTTGACTTTACCTTTAAATGCTCATGACCCTCACGTTCAAAACCCTAAACTTTCCCATTGTTAATTAAAACAAAGTAGCAAAAAAGCAAATGTTAGGAGAAACCTGCAGAGGGGTAATTTAATTGAAGGGGAGAATTAATACTAATTATCTGGCGCAGAAGCAGGAGCAGACTCACTGACAGAGCCTGCAGCAGCAGCGGTATTGTTAGGGCAACAGCTAATAAGAGCAGAAGTTATTTGGTGCAATGTGTTGCAGAGATGGTTATTTATGGCTGTAACGCTTGAGAGGTTGAGCTTGCTTGTTGGGACTGTACTAGCGAGAGCTTGCAGACCGACAGTGAGTAAACAGCCAGCCGAGTTTTGTTGCTGATCCGGTGACGAGCTGGAGTCACCTACGGTGGCCGGAGAATTGATTGTCTCGACGGGGATTATTGAAAAACCTAGAGGTAGGAGGGGAATGCAAGATGGGTCTTCCCCGCTCATTGCCAGTTGAATCGAATCCACATCTACGTTGGAGAAGACAACCAGGCTGCCGGACTGGTCGGTGCAGCTTTCTTGCAGCATCAGCTCTACGTGCTGTGATGAATTGCTTGCTACCTGCGCCATTAGTAGTTGTATATTCATAAATAATACACATGTATATGCCAAATATATACAGAGATTACAAGGATTAAGATGTATGTGTTCTTACATTAATGCGAAGAAGAGAAATGCAGTTTCCCTGATGAGAACCATTGGCAATGTGAGCCACCTCGTGTAAAGCACTTCCATTAGAAAGAACCTCCAACTGCAGAACACAAGAATCAATATTTGCATATGTAGTATAATTAAACTATATATATATATATATATTTATATAAAGTAGAACCTGAGATCTGCGTTGTTCGTCCCTGAGGAGATCGAAGACATGGTAGTGAGGGTAAGGGAGCCAAGTAGTAGAGACAGCACATAGAATTACTCCATTGGGTTGGCCGGGTTCTGTGATTTTTCTTGTTGTGATTCTAACAGTATCATCCACTGATTCTGATAGAGCTGTCCATGACTGCCCGCTGCAGCAGCTCATATTCACACTGAATGTTCTAATCATTCTCTGTGCTAGTCTCATCAAGTTCTTTCTTGCTTCTGGTGAAGGAATCACTGCAACTCCAAATATATATTACCAATTTCGTATTCCATATAATTGAAATTTGAATTAAACGACTTTAAGATCGATTAATTACCTCCAAGATCAGTGATATTTCGGGCCATGAGACTCGCAACCCTCTCGCATTGCCTCTGCAAGATGGCTAACCATCGATGAGCTCCGAACGCCATTCCGCTGTAAACCAACTGGCTAAAAATTTGATGAACAGGCTTCTCTTCTATCTCTGCATGTTCTACCCATGTAACCTGTCCATGACATGAAAATATATTACATAAATATATATGGTTCAATTCAATTTCATTTCATATAAAGCTTTCTAGTAATTGAATAAATATGCTACTGACCCTTGAGTAGCCATTGGGCATATCCTGAATTAGGCAGCCAGAGGGCCTTCTTCTATATAGAGGAAATGAATGTTGCATGTTTTCATGCAGGCTATCTATGGGGAAATCTACAATTGCCCAGCTTCCCTCCTCTACATTTTGTCGGCAATATCGAAGAAAATATGCCTCCCGGGTCGGCACCAATGGAGATACTACTTGCAATTCTGCATACATCTGTTCCAATAAAAAACACAATCATATCTTCAGTAACATAAATAAAATCTAATTGCCAGGGTGCGATTGAACCCAGTTTGATACATTCTTGTTAACTCTCATTAAAAATCGAATTCCAGTCTCAGAAATTCGAGGAAGAGTGGCAATAATTCAAGTCGAAGATATTGAATTCTAATTATACATCTAGAGCATACTATTTAAGAAGTAGGCCTATGAATTGATCATTAGTGATTGAATGAAAATTAAGACATAAACAATCTTGGATTAAGAAATTTGGCTACTCTTTTTATCTAAATATAATTAGTTTACTACATGCTTAATTACCAGGTGAAGAGAGCCACTTGCACCCGAAACTCCAGATGATAGAACTTGAACAGTTTTTGCTCTAGCAACAATGGAAGGAAACAGCTCCATCCATCTATTCTGAAATATTGACATTATGAGGACTAGAATTAATACGTATTTAGATCAAATGTGCATGTAGAACCCTTTTTCAAGAATGAAACCATAAGATATTATCTAAATTGACAATTAAGAGGAAAATAAGCTTACAGTATCCAAGAAAGCATCAACCAGAGTGATGCTATTCATTATAACAACAGCACTATCACGGGAAGCCTCGGTCCTGAACTCGCTAGAATGCTGCTTAAGATTCAACGGCCATGGAAACATCCTAGCATGCTCTTCTAGGTTAAGCAATTCTTTTCCATTCTCACCATTTCCAATCCAGAGTGGTTCGTTTGTCTGACACATCCTGAGAAGTTCATCAACGGACGACACAGCGAGCTCTATTGCAAGGGCTTTTTCCTCTTCCATTAAGACAAATCCGCCCTCAGGGAATGGAGATGTCTCCGGCAACATAGGTACTGACATCATTCCGGGACATGGTTCCATGTTAGGAGCCTCGGAGAAATGCCTAGGATATATATTCATATCCAATTCCAAAGATGGAGGCATCATCGGCGGAGCTGGTTCCATTGGCTGGATTGGCCGGCCGCTGTATCGGGAAGCAATACAGCATACTCTTTCTAACTGTAAACCACATGATCACGAGTATTAGTATGAACTGATCTAAATTCTCTCTATGATGCTTTTAATAAAATATAATTAATTCTCTCTTGAGGTTGCATAATTTGATTATTATAGCACAGCATATATAAATGATAAAGGAAACAAGCATTCTTCAATAAGCCATAGAATATTCTAACTGCAAAGAATTGTATCTATATCTATTCGTAGATAAGAACAAATAATTTTTTATATTACACCTATATATTTACAGTCTACTGAATCACCAATAACTGGAGCAATATATGTAGAAAATTAAAATTAAACTCATTAATCTAAAAGTACAATAATTACTTTACTGTAAATTAATTAGGCCAGGGCCTAGCAAGTAATAATCATAATAGAAATTTTGTACTCTCTTTATGTATATAATGTATAGATAATTAGCTGAATAATTAAATGAACTAGTTAACAAATTTAAATTGATGTAATTTTTGGTTAAAAAGTATTATTTATTTAACAAAAAAACTTGCATGTGTAATTATAATTTAACATATAGTTATTACTTAATATACATATGTAATTAGATTATAATATTTTGAAGTTAATTAGTAATTATAATAAGAAATAATATACATACCTCTTCCCTAAGTCTTGCATTTTCAAGCCGAAGTTCTTCAAACCCTCCAAGCATGGCTGGACCTCCACAGTTAGGACACACTAGATTGCGTAACTCCGCTTGTAGCCGATAATTCTCATTCTTGAGCGAATCATTCTCTGCCCTAAGTATCAAATTATCTGCTCGGTCTTGTTGTGCCTAATATATACATACATATTGTTTTGTATTATTCACCATAAACCCTAAATTATGACGAACATAAAATAAGGAAAAAATAAAAAAAACCAGATGAGAAAAAGTTGAGAGGTGGGTGAAAGGTATTAATGAATATTAATAACATTCCTTCAAGTCTGATATTATGATAAGCTTGGAAGCTCATGATGATGGCGAACAGGGTTTTGCTTTTTGTTTTTTCAAGTTGCTGAGATAGCTTGAAAGCGTTTTAATGCAAAATACAAAGAAAACAACGCGGTTTCTTGGGAATGGTGTTTGGCTGGAGTTTACGTGGAGGAAAACCAGACAGGGACATTAAGAGCATAGTAGGTTTAGGGTTTAATATGAAAGAGAGAGAGAAAAAAAAAGAGAGAAAGAGAGAGAGAAAGAGAGAAACCTTCATCTGGGTTCGTCTGTTCTGGAACCAAAACTTGACTTGGCGTGGCTTAAGGCCGAGATCTTGGCTTAGTTTCAATCTTTGCTTATCATCTGGGTGCGGGCATTCTTTAAATAAACTGCAAAACAAACGCGAGTTAATTATCACATGGACTGGATTAATTAGAAAAAGATATGGAGATCATGGTGAAGAAAATTATTTTCTTCTGTATTTTTTTATGGGATTCTAAAACAATAAGAAAATGATTGTGTTATGAATATTAAGGCGGAGAGTCCAAACTCATAAATTCTACACCAATGTCGCACACCTTCGATATGGGGATTCAAATTTTTTTTTAACCATATAACAGATTAAGGAAGAAGACGAAGAAGAGAAGAAAATGATTAATAAAGGAAAAATGAAATGGGGGAGACGTACGCTTCCATCTCTTGGATCTGGCGAGCAGTGTGCCGATGATAACGTTTCTTCTTAGGAGGCTGTTGATCAGTGCTTTCTTGCTCATTGCCTGATTTCTCTTCAACTTGTTCGCTACCCGATCCACTCTCCATTATCTCTTCTTTCCCTCTCATGTTCATCAGCATTCCATTCTCTTCTTTCTGTTGCATATACAGACATATGTACATATTGTTACAAAGTATATGTAAATCAACTTATATGTAAGAAAAAGATAACAATATAAGAAAAATGGTTTGGGTTTCCTCTGGTACTTACAGGGACAATGGAAGGGAAAGGATTAAACGGCATGAAGTTGAAATTAGTGTTTTGGATCGGTGAGGAAGAGAATAAATTCTCTGCTGACACCACATTGCCTGCTCCCATTGATGACATAACTTGACAATCTCCATACATCTTCGTCTTGCTACTCTTCCACCCAAAAAAAAGATGTTGAAATAATTAGGGTATAGATCACTCGCTTCTTCTCTTCTTCACTTCACTTGGACTTAATCTGTACTTTTTTATATATAAAAAAAAACACAGAAAAAGCCAATTAAAAACACTGGAAAAAACTATAAAAATCAAAACCAAAAGCCAAAAAGTAATAAAAAATGTTTAAAATAATAAGGACAACCTACGATCAGATTACCAGATTAGGAAGGAAATTAATCTCTCCAGAAACTTTTATGTGATTTTTTAAGAAGAAAAAAAAAACATAAAAGAACCAGGTTAAAACGCTTCTCGCATAGGAGAAGTTAGAAGATCGACAAGAAAACAAAACATCACCAGCTAAGAACATTTAATGCAGAAAGTAAACAAACAGAAAGGTGGAATTGAAGAAGGAGAAGAAGAAAGGAAACAGTGATATACTGTTACAATTTTCTTCATACTCAAACGGAAAAATTCTCCTTCTTTTCCCCAGGTCAAGAAAACCCACCAGATGAAAACTCAAGATTTGAATACATACTACTGAAATCCACCATGAATGAAGAGCTTGAGAGAGAAGCAATTAATACTACCCTCATATATATGTATACTACTCATAAAAACCACATATGGTTAAATAAGAAAGAATTATTCAATGAAAAGAAATCGAAAGAGTAAATACCGCGCCAATATAAGATTTTTTTTCTTTAGAAAATAGAGCAGAGAGAAAATCTCTTTCTTTCTCTTTATATTTTTTTTTCCTTTTGGTTTCTTCTCGACGTCACACCTCCAAACTCTCACTTTCTCTCTTTTGTTTGATTTTCTCTCTCTTTCGGGTCTGTAATAAATGGCGTTGTAATTTATTAATATTTACCGTACGGTGGGGAGGAGGTAAACGGAGACTTTAACTGCGGGTGACAGAAACCGATCACCGCCACTTACGCCGTTACTGTTTCCATACACGTGGCATTTCCTTAATGGACCATCAACCGTTTCCCAAACCGGATCTAGAAAGTCAAACTTTCTTCTCTAGGAAATCCCACGCTCCACTCAGCGCGTGATTATAGTTTCCTTCTCTTCATTGGATACGTCGGAGGAGCGCGTGGATTTCTGTTGAGGACGATAAAAGTTGACGGGTTTACTGCGAAGAGAGTCAAAATGGAGGGAAGTCAGGGAGGTAAAAATTGAGAACCGTTGATATGGTAAGGTTGGTCCCACGGGAGTGATTGTAGGAATCGGATGGGTCAATGGATCGTGATCGTCCATTTATGGAATTGTGGGTCCCGGAGTAGTTCTTGTTTTGAGGGTTGGGATGGTTTCACATTTCAATGGGCTTTGACTCTCAGACATCCAATCCAAAATGGCCTTCATTGCCCGGCGGGACCACCTTTCTTCATGCCTTAATTTATCGATTCCCAATTTTACCCCTAAAATTATATTAAAACGCTTTTTATATTAATCAACCATGTTTTAGACATCATTATCTCTAGATTAAAAACATACATTAAGAATATTTAGGTTAATTTAGATAAACTGAAAACTAAATGCTTATATATATATGTATATATTTATAGTTTCAAAGGGCTTCCCGACATTAGAAACCCTAAGAAAAAGGGGAAGGAACATAATTATCTTAACTAAGAAGAGATGGTGCTTATATATATATATATATATATTATATTAACCATCAAACTATAGATTACAAATATAATAAATTAAATTTATACCCTTTAAAATCAGAATATATTTTAAGCAAACCAACAATTTTGTGAAATTAGTTTCTAAAAATTATATATTTACTTCAACTAGATTGGTAAAAACCTTTATTAAATGTTATGCATAGAGTTTCGTATAAAATTGGAATTATAAATTTTAAATTTTATCAATTTAATATAATTTTAAATATATCATTTCAATTTTATATAAAATTTTATGTGGAGTTAGTTCTTAATACAATTGTTATCATCTATTAATTAAAGGGAAATTTTATAAATGAATTACATATAATTTTTCAATTTATTTCAAATGCAAAACTAATATGTACTTTCAATCACATACAATTATAAATTTACTTTTAAATGTAGTCATTTAAATTAAAATTTTCATTAAGGGAAACAAATATTAAACTTTAGAGAATGACTCTAAATTTTAGTCTTATAAATAAGCCATAGTGATGATGAAATTATGCATTTACACACAATTAACAAAAATTATAAATTTATTTAGAAAATATAAAAATACAAGTTATCAAATTGTTTTATGAACTTCAAAATTTAATTTAATTTAATTTCCTACTAATTTTTCTTTTAAATATAGATAGGTAGTTCATATGGATATGAATTAAAGAAAAAAGAAAAAATCAAAACGATTTGATCCAAATAATTATGACGACAGCCTTTTTTTTTTTTTTTGAAGAAATAAATACTTGGGATATGGATCGAAAAATTTACAATTAAAGAGTGTTAATTAATGCAAACGTTATGGATATACACTTAATAATTTCATGCGTTTGTAGATTATACACACATGCATGCATGCAATTTATAACCAAAAGAATTCCCTATCAAACTTCCTGCATGCATGCATGCCTAAAATATTTACTAACAATTAACACAACCCATATATACATATACGTGCATCAACTGTGAACATAATGATTTATTTAATTACCACGATGAGTTATGAGAACTGTCTAGAACGATATACATATATATATATATATATATATATATAAACAAGGGTCACAATATACCTAATCAACAATTTAAAGAATCTGTTCTAAAACTTATAACGATTGAAAAATCAATGTATATGCTTTACTTTTTTTCTACTAGAAAATAATATATATATATTTAAAATAAAAAAATAAAAAAAAAAATTCTATTAAACCAAATTTTAGGGACACTCATTGTCAAAATTAATTTATTGGGGGATCAATTAATATCCTCTCTTTAGATAATTAATTTGTTACATTTCAAGATTTATAAATATATTCTCAAAACAAAAATGTTGGACATATATATACACAATAGGGATTTTGTCTTCCCAAAATCCAGAACTAAATTAAAGGCATTAGAGCTAATATCACGAGGGGAGAATATACTTTTCCTATTTTGGGTAATTAGATTCCCTTTGTCCATAGAGATTTAAAGAATCCACCCAATAATAATAATAATAATGCAATAGAGAAATCATTTTTGTATAATTATTATACCTACTTATATGATATAGTTTAAGATGGAATACATGTGTTGTTATACTTATTAATTAGAATGTGATAATTACTGTTGGTAATTATATAAGTTAAGTTAATTTTAAATTAATTAGCATAAACTAATAATAATAATAATTTTTAAATAAATTGATACCCAATCAAATAAAAATAATAACCGTAAAATTAAATTAACCCCTGATTTAACCTGAAAAATTCATCAATTTTTTTTTGTTAATTTTTTTAATGCCTTAGACTTGTAAAATTCAATATATCATAAGTAAATGTTGATTTGTATGCCAAAATAATTCATT